CTTTGCTCAGGGCACATTGTCTATAATAGCACCTTCGCTGTAACGATCTTGCGAAGGTTATTTTAGAACAGAGCTAAATTCCATTAGGAGTTTTCATTACTGAGGCTTGATTTAGCTGCCATCCTGGAAACTGTTAATCATAGAGTATCTAGTGATTCTTTCATCTCGGTGGCACTGGAACCACCATCCTTATGCTACTTCGGCTGCGTAGAGCTGCCCATTTGCCTGCACTGTGTCAACACCTTGCCAGCGCCCATGTGGATCACTATCAATCGCGCGCTGGCACGGCGCTAGCACGATGCTCGCATAGGCGTTTGACGAAGGTTGATAACGAGTGTAAAATATCAGAGCGAAAGTGACAAACCTACGGTCCTCTACTATCACCTCTTTTTTTGGTGATTTTGTTCAGAACGGTAATATTTTTAGATTGACTACACTGTGGCTATGTGTGGTGATGGTGCGAACGACTGTGCAGCTTTGAAAGCCGCTCATGCTGGAATCTCACTTTCGGATGCGGAAGCTTCTATAGCAGCTCCATTCACCTCTAGGGTAGATAATTTTTAGGTCATTTTCAAAATAAAGTGTTTTCTGCAGATCGCTGATATTCGTTGCGTTCCCACGGTTATCCGGGAAGGTCGTGCAGCTTTGGTGACGTCATTTGGAGTGTTCAAGTACATGGCTGGCTACTCACTCACCCAGTTTTCCTCAATCATGCTACTATATTGGATATCCACAAACTTGACAGATTTCCAGGTTTGTAGTTTCGGATCTCCTGTAGACACTTCTGAGGGAATAACTTCAGAAAATATGATTATACATAGCATTGAAACGGGAGTTTCGGGGCACAGGTTTTTATGAATGCTCGAAATTGAATTCGTTGTTTTGACCGTGTTCGCACAGCCGCATCCTAATCAGATTCGCTTGTGAATACTCTTCATTTCACCTTCAAACAAACAGGAAATGCATGTAAAAAGCTTTGTAGGAAGTGAACAAAAAAGAATCTTTTAGTTTCTGTACATCGATCTGTTCCTTATTACCTTGGTAGCTGTTTTCTTTGGAAATACTCCAGCAAGTGATCAGCTTAGTTCGACACCTCCTCCAACTAGGCTGCTTTCTCTAGCAAGCGTGATCTCAGTCTGTGGACAGCTTGCAATAATGGCAGTGACTCAGGTGGGAGCTTTATTCTGGAAATTTTATAGCTCTCAATCAGTCAAATGTTTTCAGTTATTTGTTTTCATATGGGTCACTTGGCAGCCATGGTTTATACCTTATTCGGTTCCAGCTGGAGAGGAAACACAGGATAAAAGAAGCATGCAGGTGGAGTTTTGAATTCTCAATTTTATACTGTTTTCAAAACAATCTTATATCGTCTACACAACCATATGAAGTTTTCTAGGGTACCGCCTTGTTTTGCACGACAACGCTTCAGTACATCACTTTGGCGCTGATTAACAGCAAAGGCGAACCATACAGAAAAGCTATATTCTTCAACTTACCTCTTTGTCTCACCTTGGTGGTTGTGACTCTGGTAGGTCCTAGAATCTAGCAAAAGATTTGTGATTTTTCTGCTGCATGCGAAAAGGATTGCTTTTTCATGTGTCACTCTTCGTTGTGTTGGTGCCACCGCGGTTCGTCATATCATTTCTGGAGTACGATCCGATCCCATACTTTGAGAATCGCCTTTTCCTCGTTTTTGTGGCTCTGATCTGTGCCGTTGTTTCGTACCTTTTCCAGTATGCTGTTGTGGAGTTTCTGATACTGGAACTGAGAGAAAAGTGAGGAGATGTGAGAGTTAATGAAAGTGCTGCAGTTTGTCTCCTGCACACTTTCTTACTTTCAATGCAGAGGTTTTTTTCGCAGCTCAAACACATCCCTCGGGAAATCATTGTTTAGGTGGCTGAGACATCGCCGCATCCGCGATCCTCAAGCGAACCATGAAAAATTCGAACGGCTCCTCTTCGACATCGGACAGGAACCGGCCTGGCTCCGCGCCTACACAAAACCGCAGCAGGCCGAAAACGGCAAGGGCAGTCGCGTCGTGGACCAGACCACACGGGTTTAGCGCTCCACAACCATCTTCACATTTATTTATTCCCCATCCCTCGATGTCCATCAAAAGCAGCTTTCACTTCTAGTTTCTGTCACTTTCCAGTTCTGACTTTCGAGTTGACCATTGATACGGGTGTTTGTATTTTCGCTTTCATGCCGGCACTAAGTCCAACTAATTCGTTTAGTTTCACTTTTCTTCTTCACTTTGTTCGCTTTCCCCGTCAAGCTTTACTTGGTCCTCTACTTCAGCCCTCACTTGCCGCCAGGTGTAGCATTTCTTATTGTTGTGGGTCTAGGTGCTGTTGGTCATTGATGTACATGTCTATTTTTGCTCCACTCATTTTTTATACAGAACTCATTGCTTCATTCTGATAAAGATTTATCTCTATCCCTGAAAACC